CGTTGATCAAGCCTCCCCGCCTTGGTGGGAAGGACGGGAATCGCGGGTATCTCGGGGCATGGTCTGGGATATCTAGATCGTATTCGACGCCTTCATCGTCGTGATTCTGGAGCTCGCTGCGAACAGAGGCATTAGATGCAGTGCCAGACGAGGAGCTTGAGCCACCCTCTTGAACTGTGTGGACCGATCCTTCTTGACAATCCTCAATCCGGACCATGTTGACGAAGTTGCATGGCTTTGGCCGAGGTCGGAGTATAGAACGCAGACCCGAGCAGCGTTGTATATTGTAAGCGTAGTTGGAGGCAGCGTTCCGTAGGCCGTAGGGCTGGGCCTGGTAGTTCTCCATCGAGGTTTCGTATTCGGAGAGCCGGAGACCCGTCGTAGGGGCTGGCCGGCGACGAATGGAGCGCCCTTCAGGAGTAGATGTGACCACGAGATCTGTACCGAGTCGTGCAGGACGACTGGCCCGAGCTGGTTGGGTAGATCTGTTGTGGGTAGCGGTTACCAGCTCATTAGGTTGACTTTGAATTGAACTTACCAGAGCTAGGGTTTCGGCAAGTTTGGTGTTGACCCGATCGATGGAGTCGAGCAGGTCGGTGTTGTCGATCTGCTTCCCTTTGTAGCGAGGAAGCGAACGATGGGTTGTCGGTGTGGCTGAAGGCGATGCGGGCGTGGTCGGAGCCAGATCCACCGTGGTCGGAGCCAGATCCACCGTGGTCGGAGCCAGACCCCCCGTGGTCGGAGCCGTATCCACCATGGTCGGAGCCATAGCCGATGCAGGTGAAGCAGCGGTCGACGCAGATTGAATCCGCGCCTCCTCCGTGATCATGGCGATGAAGTTGTCGGAGCTGGTGGTCCAGGTGATCTGACCGACGGTGAACGTGAGGCCATTCGGTGTAGCCATGGAGCCAGGGATGATGACCATCTTGTTCGCTTGGAGAGCAGTACGCACACCCCCTACCTAGTGCGCCACTGTCAACGAAATATGGTCGACAGTCTACCTAGGGGTATGCCCAAGGTAGTAGATTGTCGGCAGACAGATGCGCAAGCCACAAACAAGATGGTGACGCAAGACAGACACGAGGTTTTATCCAGGTTCGGCCGCCAAGAAGGCGTAATACCTACGTCCTGCGTCTGATTGTATTGCTGTATGTCAATAGGAGATGTTTTTTAGAGGGATCCCCTGCCCGCCTTATATAGTCCAGGGGATAGGGTTACAGATCTGGAAACTAATCCTAGCCAGTTACAATTGCCATAGGTGGCCGGATAAGGATTCCTATTCTAACCGACCAGGATCTTGCTTGATCGCCAAATCTGTCTTGACTCCTTGCGCGGGACTCCAAACAGGTTGGCTGGGCCGTGCGTCATCTTTTAGCGGACCGGATCCTCTGATCCGGGCCGGCCCAAGCCTAGCCGTAAGGGTATAGGGGTTAATACCCCCACACATATGAAAAAACCATAAAAAAGCACAGACCTTGCTGCTCTTTCAAATAATGCTATTCCTTTTTTTATTTGTCAGGAAGAAGGCTTGGCAGTAGAGTCCTAATCCAGGTGGTATAGTCAACACGATGCATTCCAACCAATTGCCAAGGAGCTGCAGAGCAACGGAAATCATGTAGCTATATATTAGGATTACTGCACTGCAGTGGCCAAAAGATTTAAAAAGAGATTAATTCGTAGATATTTCAAATAGTTTTGGATTGTACAATTAGGTACCTGATTGTACAACAGGATGACGTTTCCTAGCATAAACATAGAAGCAAATGTAATGAATTATCTGAGGTCTTGACACTACATGAGCAATATTGTAGATATTTTTTTTTCACACTGACCATCAACCCTGAGTATTAATGGTTTTTCTGTATAGTCACATAGGAATTATAAACCTAAAGAAGGCCTCGCATAAGAGCCGTAAACCAGGTACCAGCAACAGTCTTTTGTAAGCAAATTGTTCAAGGGTTGTAGATATGCACTAACTAATCACCACCATAAATCACACAAGGGAAAAACGGCATTAAAAACACTGACATTGCCTCTCTTTCAATCAATAAACACAATCCAATCCAAGGAGATGACAAAGAATAAATAACGGTAGTCCTCTTTTTATACTTATTTGTCGTTAATAAGCCACCGCATCGTAAGTCGTAAAGGTGTAGCAAGCAACCGTCTTTTTCATAGCAAATTCATCGTGTTATAGTCACGTGATGCATTCCAACCAATGTGTAATGGGTAATAGAAAATACAATAGTAAAGGGAACAAAATCAGTAAGATGTAGACCGGTAGGAACATAGCCTGTATATGTCCCTGCAATATATCTATACAAATACAAATTAGGAAAAGCATTAGAAACTGCAGCTCTCAACTGCTATAGAAATTGTTGTGAGGATCTGCTGATCCAAAAAAACACGAGGAAGAGGGGATCTAGGGAGGAGCTCATGGGACGAAGGAGGAGAAGAAAAGGATGAGTCACAATGAGATCCAGCCGCCGAGGTTCGCCGCCGCCGCTGCACAGGTACCTAGTGTTTCTCGAGCCGAGGAGCACAGGATCCCCAGCTAGAGGTGGCGTCGAGGAGGACGCATGGAGGATGGGGGAGAGAGAGCGGCCGCCGAGCCCCACCCGCGCCGGCACACCGCCCGCAGGGGGCGCCATCGCCTGGCGGCTGCCGCCGGCTCGCGCCCACCGCCGCCTCGGGAGGGAAGGGGAAAGAGAGGAAGGGGAGGGAGAAACAGAGGCAAGAGGTAGGTGAGGGAGGGCGGAGGAGGAGGACGAGGAAGGCGGTCGCCCGCGCCGCCATCGCCGTGTCCGCGTCGGGATGGAGAGGGAGAGGCCGACGGGGAGAGAGAGAGGGGAGGGGGATTGAAGAATAATCTAGAAGGAGAAGCGGAAGCTGAGTATATATTTGTTTGTCTGGATTCGGACGAGAAGCCGGAGAAGCCGTAGACAAGCGACGAAAAGCAGAAGAAACCAGGAAGAGCGCCGAGAAGCTGCTCCGAACCAGAATCGGTTCCAAGCGATCTGGGCCGTTGGGTTGAAGATCCGACGATCAGGAACAATCGGGGCGACGTGGATGCTGTGAGAGAAGCCGGAGAAGCCGTAGACAAGCGACGAAAAGCAGAAGAAACCAGGAAGAGCGCCGAGAAGCTGCTCCGAACCAGAATCGGCTCCAAGCGATCTGGGCCGTTGGGTTGAAGATCCGACGGTCAGGAACAATCGGGGCGACGTGGATGCTGTGAGAGGCGGCCAAAGCTCGCCGGCTTAATGACAGTAAATAAAGATTGCACGCATCTTGTAGACCTCTTCATTGAGCTCTCCCGTCCAGCATGATGGTGTTCAACGCACGGGCCACAACGATTTAATATTAAACCATTAGCGAACATGTTGCTATCTATTGAGTTAAATAATGTGTAAGGATAGAAGTATCAATTTTAGCATATTATAGTCAACGATGGTGTTGAAAAACACAGACATGAAAAAAAAAGTATGTAACGAAGAGAAGCAAAATTGTACTGTATTTTCTCTTAAAAATATAGCCACGCAAATTGGCATTTCCTTCATCTCTCTCAAACACCATGGATACTATGGGCTCCTGTCATATGTGTCTCACTAGGTATTTCCATTTGTTTCTCCTAAAATATTGTAGCTTGGTCACTGTCATCATTATTGGCTCCCTCGATGTACCCATTCCCATCTCCTTGGCGTCCACATCCTAAAATATTGTAACTTAGATACTTTTTATGAAGATTTTAAAAAACACTCGGGAGCACTTGTGCTTGCAGACACTAAAAAAACAATCTCAACAACAATAATAAATGAGAAATATTACCTCGACTATAGTGTCAGGACTTCTTTATAAACAACATTCTGTGTATGTGTCAAGATTTTGATGTTCAATTTAGCATAGTGGCCGTTGATAATGCTACATGCAATTAATTAGATGAGAACACTGGTTCTGGCAAGTATGCCCCAACTTTGGAGATAGTTTGCTTCTGCGCCTTGCTAATGGTCGTGGCGAAGCTTAGTCGAATAGGAAACCATTTTCTCTTAAACTGAAAAGAGAATATCTTGTCGAATAAGTAAAGAAAAAAAATTAGTAAATGAAGAGACCTGGCTGACGATTGCCGCTAGCGATGAAAGTTGAAAGTAGGACAATTTTTTTCCTTCTCCGTCCTAATTGTGATTAAATCTGATGCCAGTTTTGAATAGGAACTGATGAAATACTAAAAGAAAATTTATTTCAAAAAAAATTCTTATTTCGAAATACTAAAAGAAAATTAGAGCCAAGACTATAGCTATGCTAGGCACTACAGCTGATGCAACTCAAATTTTTCCTTCAAAAACACATGCCGCAGCAGCTGCTGCTTTAAGTTGCAGCGAGCAAGCCTATGCAAGGGTGAATTGGGTGGTACAACTGCACATACTACGGACCCTTTTATCCAGCAGAGTTGGTATTTTTGGCTTGGCAAGGTGGTGCTAAACTGTGCTTACCATGCTACTGCTGCTGGCGTGCCACTACGGACGTGCATTTCCGCATGGCCCACAAGCCCACGTTCTCTGGATTCCAACCCACTCTTTATTTTTCCCTCACACCAAACTATCAGCTTTAATAATACACGATATCGTTTCAACCCAGCCCAACAGGCTTCTTCTCTCACCTGCTCGAGAGCTCCCATTTGCATTCAGATGAGAGCAGCGCACAGAAGCTGTGAGCTCCGCCCAGCGACGGCGAGCTCCTTGCAGGCCACGCTGGCGAGCTCTGCCCAGTCTGCAATTGCGACCTACTCACAGGCCGCGCAGGCGAGCTCCATGCAGTCCGTGATGGCGAGCTCTGTGCATGCCGCGACGGGCCCGTAGCATCCGTGCAGTCTGCGCCGACGAGCTCATCCTGTCCCTCCCCACATGCCATGCCCGCTCATCCTCTCCTTCCGCCCTCTCTGTTTGGACGCCGGATCTCGCAGGGAGGAGCCGCATCTCGCATTGCAGTAGTTGCACGCGCCCGCCATGGAAGTTGACAGTGGAGCAGCAGCACAGATCCGCCGTGGGGCCCGCTTGGACGCCGCCGCCGGGCACATCAGCGGGTGCGCCAGCAACTTCTTCGATGGCGGTGGCGGCGGTGTCTACGGCAGCGGGCGCGTCCACTTCGTCGAGGTAGAGTCCAGCTTCGAGGTGGATGCCGACGCGGATGCTTGCTGCGGCGTCCCGGCTTCGCCTACCTTCCTCGCGCGTGGGGAAGATGTGCGGCGGTCGATACGAGGCATGACCTCGATACCCATGGAAGGATGTGTTTTGCTCCTGTCGGTCGAAGGCGCACTGGAGTGTGGAGGCAGACCCACGCGGATGTGAACGATTGCAGTTTTACTCTTTTTATTTAGGATTAGATTAGATTGGGGCCTTTGGCTATTTCTTTGCAAAAACAGGCTACCATGGGATCCTACAAAAGTGATCCTTTAAAAAGCTATAAAAAGTTATATTTATGGATTGCCATTTAAAATGAATGAAATGCAATGCATGTAGGATCACGTCCTATAGTAGCCAACAAAAGCAGATGTGTACCGATTTTTGGCTTCTATTACAAATACAGCTTTTGCTTTTCAAAATCTGAATTCAAAAGCAAGTTGTTTGTTTCATCTTTCGGATTTTGACTAGTAGCCAAAAGCATAAGAAGCAACTGCTAGGCTTTTAACCCTATTTGCCTAAAAACAACAGTAGGAACAAAAAAAATCAAGGATCACATCGAACTATTTGGGAAAAAAAACAAAAGTTATGTTAACTCACAGCGCCTATAAATGCTGATCAAATTACTCACCACTATAGTTACAAAAAAACTACCTAAAACACATTTATAATACTAGTTAGTCTATAATGGAGTTAGATATGATTAAACAAGCCAAACAACCATTTAATTCACTAGTTAGCTAATAGGAGAATTACAACTACAACATGGGCACCCAACTTATTAACCTTGTAAAGGTATGAGAATGAGATAGAGTGAGATTTAGTTTGCTTCAAACTAAATATTTGCTAGGATATTTTTTTTACATGCGTAAATATTACGCTCTCTAGCATATTTAATTCTAGGAGCACAGCGAGAAGGGTCTAGCAAATCTTTTGTGCTAAAATTCTGTTTTTTCATTCTTTCTTGGTTTTGCAAATAAAGATTCAGAATTTCAGATCCATTGAAGTTACCTAGGATTATGGACCTCCCATCTCAGGGTGGAACAAAATACGATTAACAAGGTTCAATGATAACTACCGGAAACCCTTAGTTTGCCGAGTGCATTCTATCGGGCACTCGGCAAAGAAGCTCGGTAAAGCCCGGCACTCGGCAACCTAGAAAAAAACACTCGGCAAAGCTAGGCACTCGGCAAAAAAATATGTTTGCCGAGTGTAATTATTTGGCACTCGACAAAAAAATATGTTTGCCTAGTGTAATTATTTAGCACTCGACAAATAATTTCACTTTTTCCTCTTTTGACCTTAAAACTTTTTCTACTCTCCACATAGAACATATGGTATTCCATGTTAAAATTTGGTATATTTTTTGATCTGTTTGCTATATTTAATTAATTTATTGTATTTCTAGAAATTTTTTAGTATAAGTCAAATTTGATCTGCAAGTGATTCAAATAATATAATAAAATGAGTAGAAAAATGATATTCATCTTATTGAGTCCAGTGTGAGGCCTTACCCGGAAAATGAAAAAAATTCGAACATCTTGTTCAGAAAACACGGCCACGAACATGTGGCCGAATGGTTTTTAAATTCTAAAAAAAGCAAATGAAGTCTGAAAATCATGAGATTTGTCATGATGTGATGATATCATACGTGGAGGTTGTGGTAAAAAATTGAGAAGGTTTTGTATAATTTGTTAATTCGATATTTACCAACTGAAGCATCTCAGAAGAAGAATCATAGCGTTGAGAAGCATTTAGTAAGATTTAGAGTCAAAGTGACGGTTAAATTGGGGTTTAACTTCAAAACTTTTTGTATAGGCAATAGAGAACATAGATTATTTCATGTAAAATTTAGGTAATTTTTTAGATCCGTTTGATAATTTTAATTTATTAAGTGCAATTATAGAATTTTAATTGATATAAATTAAATTTGAGTCGTAACTGCATAAAATAATGGAGTAATATTCGTAGAAAAATCATATATATATTGTTGAGTCAATTTGACATGATATTTTCAAAGTACATTGGGAAGAAGGAGGAAGACACGGTATGAAAAGAAAAAATAGGAAAAAAAGTTTGTGAAGTGCAGACTTTGTCGAGTGGCGTGATCTTGACACTCGGCAAATTAAGTTTGTCAGTTCGACATTCGGTAAACTGGGCACCTTGTAAAAGTCACCCGGCCGCCGCCCTCCCCTCCCTCTCCCGGCGCCGCCGCCCCGTCCCCTCCCTCCCTCTCCCGTCCCACCGCCATGGCCGCAGCTCCAAGTTCTGGATCTGACTGGAGGTTTGGGTCTTGCTCTCTTTCTCTCTTTCTGGATTCGATTTGACCTCCCCTGTGTTTGGATTTCTCAACCGATGGCTGCTGACCCTGCGCTACTGCTGTCATCCATGGCCCTAGAGAACAACTTCATGCTGGAGCCCACCGACGCCGAGTACGGCGGGGTCGTCATCGACGCCGACAGGCTGCCTCCTAACAAGGCCGGCCTTGCACGCTCGCTCACGGCGTCGCTCTCTCACTGGAAGTCTGTGGTACGTCTGGGCCGACATTTCTGATCTCGTCCATCCAATCGACAAACCTTCGGAAGGTTTTAGTTCCGTGCTGAACGAAGGCAGTATCAATTTGCTGATTTGCTGCGGTGTTGATGTTGCAGGGGAAGAAAAGGGCGTGGTTGAAATTACCGGTGGATCGACCCGAGTTCGTTCCTTTAGCAGTGAAGGTACAAATTTGGTCTTCAGAATCTCAGTCCCAATAGTAAGTGCTGCAATGCTTTCCACATGTGCAGCTGAGACTCCGAACCAATAGAATCCAACTTTTTTTTTCTTTATACACAATTAAAGAGTTTTTCTTTTTGAACTCTGTCTGCGCGAAGGTTTCAGTACTAGGTGAGCATTTCGTTCTTTTGCTCTTTGGGCCAGTAGTGTGGCGGCGGCGGCGTGGTGGTGGTGGTGGTTTTTTTTTTATATTTTTCGAAATATTTTTTTGTCGAGTGTCGGTTTAGTTGCGAGTGCTTGACAAAAAACACTTGGCAAAGACAGCTTTGTCGAGTTCTTTTTTGCCGAGTGCCGCTCGGCAAACGCTTTGCCGAGTGTTTTTTTCCTTCGCCGTGTGCTGTGGGCACACAGCAAACCTATGAATTCCGGTAGTGGATTATTGATGCCAAATAATGTAATACCAAAACATAATAATCTTCTATCAATAGTGGCCATGAAGAGAGTTCTGATATTTCTCTATATTTCCAGAGCAAATCATGTGTATTACTTCTGTGTCTCATGGAAGAAGTGTAATTTGCACCATGTCATGTGCACAATGACCGACTGATTGTGATCCGGTATAAGGAGGAAAGATAATATTAGTTTCAGTATGGTCCTTGCTCTGCAGCCACTGTGTTTGTTAATCACGATATAAACTAAACGGGGCACCTGGTAGTTTGAATGTGATTATGAAATATTCTGAAATTCTAAACTTCAGTTCTGGATTTCGCCATGCCATAAATCTGAAATCACTGCTCCCTGCGCATCCAATCGTGGATCCGGCCGTCCGTCCACCCTCTCTCAATCTAGGCCTTAAGGGTAGCCTGCTTTTCTTGCCTCTATAATAGATTAATGCTTCAGTGCCCGATCTTATAGGAAACAATATTAAGCACAAGTTTGGCGCGATCAAGATCTCTCGTCGTAACCGGCTCCGTTGGGTGTCGGAACTTATTGATCAGCATACTAACACTTGGAACATGGAGACTGTAAATGAATTATTCCATTCACCTGATGTCGAGGAGATTCTAAAATTGAAGCTTCCTCTGAGAGGGCAAATGGATTTTGTGGCTCGGCACAATGAAAAGAGTGGTATTTTTTCAGTCAAAAAGTGCCTACAGGCTGGGCTATCGCCTGCAACACGAGGAGAACTAAGCGTCTAGCACATCACCAGATGAAAGTCGGTCTCTATGGAATAATATTTGGGAAGCAAATGTGTAACACCCTCGATGTTACACTGTAAATCATTTACTAAAACATGTCATGAACATCAAGTTTATGTGTTAATGCATCTAATAAAGAGTGTAGATCAATTTTCGTAACTCAAAACGATCAATGGAAATGCGAAATGAAAGTTAATTCAATAGTCATATTATATCACTTAGAGTTTAAAATCAATTTTTATTAAGCAAAAATGCTATAGAACATGTATATGATACTTAAATAAAGTTTGAAGTACACACTTTGTAGAAAAATTTCCAATAGCTAAGATTTCCAATAGCTTAGAAATGCAATTTGAAATAGAGTTCAACTCAAAACTTAGAAAAATTTCGAAGTTCGTTGGCAGTTAAACATTGCTATGTTTAGCAAACTATTCTGAGAAATTGGGTTAAAGAGCGATGTAGTGTTATAGCTTGCTTAAGTAACCTCATATACCATCTTGAGTGTAGTGAAGACCGTTTATGTTTAGGAGTAACGGGTTGGTCGTGGTAGAAGCTTTAAAATCTGTGCACAACACGTTTCCGGTTTGTTTCCCTCACGTGGGCGCGGTCACCGCGCGTCAGTGGTCGTCGTCGCCGCGTTGGTGCTCCTCGCGCACGCTAGTGCGTTGCTGCGCTGGGCTGGCCGTGTGTCGTGGGATTAGCCTTGGGCCCTGCCGTGTGAGGCCGCCGCTGCTGCCGTGCGGCCGTGCCGTGCTGCCACCCGCCCTACGCACTGCCGTGCTGCCCCGCAGCTGTGTTGCTGTCGCTGCAGCCGCTCTGCCTCGCTGTCGCTAATCGTGTCGTGCTGCGGGCCTCCTCATTGTTGCTCGCTGCGCCGTTGCCGCGTGTTGCCGGCGTGCACGTGGGGTGCTCCCGTTGCGCTCGAGTCGTAGCCTCACCTTAATGGCACTACGGCCGCGCGGGCCAGGCCACGCCTGCCATCTCGCACACACATGTGGCCGGTTGTGGAGGGCGCGCTCATCGTTTGCACCTTGACGGAAGCACTCGGTCACGACATACGCGTCTCGCTAGGGTGCACAGCCGCGCCACTACCGCCGCCGTATTTTCCCCTGTTGCACCCCTACCTGCCGTAGTCACATCGCGGCCACCGGGGGCCCGAGCGTGGGCACCAGCCATCAATTCTTCGCGTTCGTGGGTGCGCCCGGTCGATAGCATCTCAACCACTACCTCACCGCTTTGAATTGCATCGCGACAAGC